TCTAGATAGTAAGTAATAGTAATTAAATTCAATTAGAGGGCAATCCGCAGGAAACCAACATATGTCTGTGTAGGATCCTCAGAGACTTTCCCAATCTTCTACAGTTTGGTCAGTGATTCCAAGCGGAATTTTGTCTGGTTTCGCATTACCCAGATCCTTTCCCACGATCTTGAATACTTGAGCTCTAGTTCCAAGTTTGAATTTTGCTGCGTACATTTTGGCATATCCAACACTTAGGGATTTTCGGACTAAGCTCATAAATTTTCTACAAGCAATTTCTTCTGAAAGAATTCCTAGAATAACCTTGTGAGGCAGCCGCCAGGCTGTGGTAATGTCACCCTCAAGTCCGTCGATTTAGGCTCCTTCCCGTCTGCTGATTCACTTAGTTAGGTACTACGAGCCCTCTGTCCCATTTGACCTATAGATTCTGAGAAGAGCCATATGAGGCGAAAGTCTCACGTATGAGAGCTGTCCGGTAAAGTATGAACTAAAAGAGAGCACTTTGCAAAACAAACAAAGAAAACAGCTGACAGAATGACGCACAATGACACGGTTCTTTTGGCCTTTTTTCTGTCCAGTTCTTCCTTTTCTTCCTTTCTTTTGGCCTTGTGTTTCACAGTCGCTACTTGTTTACTTCTTCCCGGTCTACCATTTTATTTACTCTGCCTGCAAGGCTCACAATGTCGGTGACACTTGGTGTGCTTCGACGTGAGGTGCCCACACCCCCATCTGCCATAGTAGCAGCAGACCAGACTACCGTCTTCCCACGCACACAATGGCCCATCATTGTGAATGTATACAAGCTATCTGTCCGGTTCAGTACAGTCATAATGAGGGTGTATTGCGTTCAGAGGAAGACCATAGCACGCGTTAAAAATGGTAAGTGACAGAGCAAGGGAAGCCGGGTTGAGGAGAGAAGGAGAGAAGGAGAGAAGGAGAGAGGAAAGATGGAGCAAGGGAAGACAAAGGTAAAAGATGAGGACTATGGACCACTGTCCTCCCCCAAATAGACCGCACGGGCATTAACGTTGTACCTGGACCGACATTTGCCCATAATACAGCTGTAATGAACGTGCGTTCTGTCCCCGAGCAGACAGAGTCACCGTATAGGTGCTAGCGTAGGGAAAGATTAATCAAGCCTCCCAGGAGTCGGTCCGTTATTGGCGGAAGAGGGGACACGCATGGCTATGGGATGTTGCGATGGGTGATGGGCGACATGGAAAAAAAGCTGAGAATTTTAACCACAGGAATTGCTATGAGACGCAGACAAGTGATCCTCAACAAATAAGGGTGTGCAGACACGATTGGCTGAGGCAAGATAACATCATCGTCAGAAAAAGAAAAAAGAAAAAAAAAGAAGAAATCGCCGATACCAATCAACCATGACATTAACCACAAGGTGGTGGTCGCTCCACAGTTGTCCCACATTTGTCCCACATCTGTCCCACAGTTGTCCCACAGTTGTCCCACAGTGGTGCCACAGTTGTGCCACAGTTGTCCCACAGTTGTCCCACAGTTGTCCCGCAGTTGTGCCACAGTTGTCCCACAGTTGTCCCACAGTTGTCCCACAGCTACCAGCGATCAGAGCTTTGAATAATGCCCATGCGATGGCCAAAAGGGGGTGGGACTGTACAAGTCGAGGCCGAGTTCCAGCCAGGGAACTTGGACCCCTTTGCCTTGGCATTCATCAGTCCTGGTCGGGACAAAGCTTAAATCAATCCACGCTGTGATGGGCACATAAAGCTAACATATATCCAGCCTTGATGGCCTCCAAACTCCTGGAACTTTTTTTTTTTTTTTTTTTTTTGCAGAGAAACAAACTCCTGGAAACATGACGCACTGACATTATCACCAAAAAAAAAAACACAAATTTTCTACTCTCACGGACACATACTTGCAACCGCAGAGCGCGCCGCACTGTCCGATGC